GGATATTAATGTCGAGGAGTCCCCCGACTTCGTCTACATGACGAATCCATAGTCCGGAATTAGTTTATGAGATGGATCAGGTGGGATCCCATTTGTACTAGTGCTAACCGGATTCGATTGTTGGACATTCATCCACTTCCGGGGGTGAGAATCCTTTTGTCCCATTGCGCTCCCCCTCTCCTAGTAAGGGATGCAAGACTTGTTAGCATGGATTGATGGCCTACCCGTCATTGTCCTTCTAGGACATCTATCCTTGCAGACTTATTTGAGATCTCGTCACTTTTTCAAACCATAGAATGAGTCTGGCATTATTCGCCATACACGACTTCACGCTGTTCTTCAGGAACATTAGTGTTGACATTCTTTGCAGATTTAGTAGGCGTCCCACACGACTTCACGCCGTTCTTCGGGAACGTTAGTGTGGATGATCTATTAATCTATATATCAATTCTCTGTAAGAGATCTTGATGAGACACGTGGGGTCGTCTCACACGACTTCACGCCGTTCTTCAGGAACGTTAGTGTAGACGTTCTTTCCTCCCCTAACGGCGGGAAGACAATCTCATCAAAGTGACAGTCCGCAATTTGAGCGGATAAGAGATCGCCTGTCTAAGGTTCTAAATTTAAGTTATAGATGGTGATACATATTTCACATATATCTTCTTGGATTTCTTCCAAAAAATATTGAATCATTTCATGTATGTGCATATGCTGACATATAATCAAATTACAAGCAATCGACAATTTATGCTTCTGGCATTCAAATTGTGGTTCTACATAACCGTGTCGAAAAATTCCTCTAATTTTCCCAATGTACGCTTCTGGTCGTACATGTTAGAGATGATGCACATATATTCGATTTCTTGGCTTCAATGATTTCAACATAATAACCATTAGCTCAAATATCTTTAAAGTTTAATAACGTTCTACTGGAACGTGGAGGAAAAATAACTACTTTAATGGCAAAAGTTGTGCCATGTGATAACATAATGTGGACATTACCATAACCATCTATCAAAACTACATCGGCCCATTTAGTTATCAAAGAGGTCTTTGCTACTACTAGACATGAAATTAATAAAAATACGACTTATCTCTAAGGATAGTATGTGTAGTCGCACTATCTGCCAGACATTTATCCCCACATGTCATGTCTAGAGCGTTATATATTCTAATCACATATTTTCAGTACTTCAGGTACTAAATAAATTCATCAAGCAAACACCACTGAATAACATAATAATTAACACATAGTGACATAAATATATGATCCAGAGCATGAACTAAACATAATCAAAATACGAATATGGTTCATAACATGAGCATATGAAGTAAGATGGTTGAAATTCAATAAAATAATAAACCCGAGTAATAAAATAAACATAATGCATGAAATCAACAGTTCAATCATATCCCAACAAGGGTTATTTGGTCAGATGTGCCCAAGTATGGAGGCTGAGTGACGGGCTATACATAGAAAATATTTGCCTCTACCAACTCAGTCTATGCTGGTGCATTATTATTTGCATCTCCAGCCCCAACGTTCCTCGCACTTCAGGTGCGCGACCAATTCTTAGATCCACTATATATAAAACATATAGTTATGTTCTGATTTTGAGCTCTATTCGGATTTTAAAGTTCATATAAAAATCGTTTATGAACATTTGCTCCTTGCTTCAGGCAAGCATATTGTCTTTTGGTAATCAAGACGACTAGTGAGGTTATCCCATTCTTTATGGGGACCCTTGTTTGATGAATAGTCTAGACGAAGGACTTCATCTAATTATCTCGTAATCAGAAACATAGTCTCAGCCTTCTGGGCTTTACCTAATAAATTATACTCGAAAACAACCATTCTCAATTGCTCACTAAGCTTATGGATCTTAACATCCATTCTCCAACCAACAAAACTTTCACCAAATACATTAAGTTGGGTAAACTCGAGTTTGCTCATGTGTTTCATCTCAAATCAAATAGAATAAGGAGTATTATTGTTTTATGGGGATGTAACCTCCATAAACAATTTCATGAATATTTTGCACATATTAGAACTTCTGTTCTAATAATTCATACACCACATGTTCATACACACTCATGGATTTCATACGCTAAACCATAACGACAAACGAAATATTGCTTACCATATTTATGTCATAAAATTACATATGACAAATAAACTATACGTCAATCGAGAATTCTGAATTAGAGATTGACCAAAGTCTTTATGCAATCAAGACAATGTAAATTTGCCAAACATTAAAGACATATAGCATGCTCTAATATAGTATAAAAGATAACCAAAACCGTATAACTTGTCATGATATAAATCATAATTATCATGTATATATATCTCATACAAATTCCACAAACTAATTTGAAATGACTGAGATAGTTAATTACCAATTACCTAAACATATCCATAATGTAAAATTCATACAATCACATCGGGCACAAGTGATAATACGTTAAGAGCATGAGACAAAAGAATATATACCAGATTTCATCACTTTGAATCTCAAACATTGAATCATCACATATAACAAAATACATAGAAGGGGGCTTGAGATATAGGTCCCTAGTGACAAAACTAATTAGAACTAAATGACAAGTTAAACTAAACTTTTGCTTCACATCATTTATTAAATTTATTCCAAAAATGCCCTTTCACTGCATTTAGTAAAATTCAAACTGCATTTATCATTTTTATTATGCATTTAATATCTTAGTTTTTCATCTAACATATTTTATTTTATTTTTATACATTTTGTCGTCTTTATTTTTTTGCTTCACTCTAGCATTTTTTTACATTATTATAAATAACTTATTTTTTTTTTTTTACATTTTACATAAAATTACGATTTTTTTTCTCGTTTTTGTTAAATAAAACAGCAGTTTTTAAAATACTATGGTATACTATAGTGTACTATGGTATACTATAATTTACTAATATTGAAAATTATGAATGTTTAAAAAATAAAATCGGTCGCAGTCGACCATAGATACCAATAGAAACCATAGCAATTCGTAGTCACATACTTTTAAAACCCTAACTCACATTTTGAACCATACCCGCTACCCATTCGTAGACACTCATAGTAATTCAGAGAAACCCGTAGTCATTCGCACTCATCCAATATGAAACCCTAGATCCACCACCACCACCACCTCCATCCTCATCCTCCATCTTAATTAGCCTTCCCCTTCTCCAAACACAACATCAAATTCTAACAAAAAAATTACCGTCGTCATCGAAGAAAACCACCACCGACGCCATCGACCAAAACCGTCGCCGCCCCCAACTACCAAAACCACCATCGCTCGTCCACCCCCAGCGACCAAAACTGCCGCTGCCCCCCTCGACCGAAACCACCGCCTCCCCCACCGACCAAAATCACCGTCGCCAGCCGTCCCCAGCGACCAAATCCGCCGCCGCCCCTAGCGACCGAAACCACCGCAACCCCGAGCGACCAAAACCACCGCCGCACCTAGGGACTAAAACCGCCGCTGCTCCTAGCGACCACAACCACCGCAGCCCCAGCGACCAAAACCCGCCGCCCGCCGCCTGCTGCCCTCACACCAAGATCCGATCTGAAAAAAAATCCTACAACTAATACCTCCAAATCAGCATCACTATCTAAAATAGAGAAAGATAGAGGTAGAGATAGAGAGAAGAATAGATGAAGGGCTGGGGCCAATGAAAAAATGGAGAAAAAAGACCATGATGGGGTGATGAGAAATTGGAAAAAAAACAAAAGAGAAAAAGCCAGTAGGCGGCGGACGAGAGAGGAAGAGAGAATGGGAAATAAAGAAATAACAAGAGAGAAAGAAGCGTTGATTTTATTAGGTATAATAAGGGTATTTTTGGGTTAAATAAAAATAAAAGGATGTTGGTCAAATTTTATTTTAATCTAAGAATTTAATTAAAATATTCTATTTTGGGTTGTCCCTCACGTCTAATTAGGTTTGATTTGAGGGGTGTCTCCAATATATCATATAGCATGAGTGAGACGGCAAAATTCATGACAATATTTCATACTTGAACATCCAATACTCTTGCCCGATAACAAGAAATCATTTCACATGCTCAGAGCAATTATTATATGGAATATGAAGGCATTTTAATCATACTATTCACATAATAAGGACTACCAACCAGGTCATATTTTCAAATCATCCACGGCATAAATGAAGTAATGACTTGAACATAAAGTTTATTCATATATTTCATGCCATTAAATAGATCTATCATGCATCTCTTATGAAATCAAAATTTCAAGGAGATTAAAGTTTATTTGAAACACTTAAATCCAAATATTACGAAGAATATAATATATTTTTTCGAGATTACCGTTTCACATATAAACCTGGGTCACAAGTTCTGCAAGTAACCTTGTCCCACGAACAATTACCTTTCCACGAGCACCTTGAATTCTTCAAGTATCCTCGCCCCATAAACAATTGTCTTTCTACAATAACAACGAGCACTTCGTGCTGATAACGTGTTGTAAAATGGCCTATTTATCTAGCTCTTTGGTTTGTGTTTGTGGAAATTCATAAGAATGTAAATAACAAGACAATAAGAGAAAGAGAGAATGCAAGGAACAACAATCCGTAGAGAGAAAATTGTGGGATGTTTAGGGGAGGGGAGATTCTCATTTATATATGTGTAATCCACCGGAAGTTACAAAGGAGTTACATAGGAGTTACAACCACTACAATGTGTGGGGATAATGGGGTAGTGAGAAGTTGAGAATCTACAGTGGAATATGGAGGTTACAACCTCTCATGTGTTAGGATAGGAAGACCCACTTTTCCATATTATTTACAACAATTATATTAATTTCAATTGGAAACATGCAATCAAAAATATTGTACTTACAAATAATTGTTTTTGGTCACTCATAAATAGTCTCCGTGCTATGCACCTGCTCAAAAGCTAGTAAACTGTATACCATTAAAACCAAACTTTGGTGCAAAAGAGGAAAAGGAAAAAAAAAAGAAAAAAAAAACACAAGGCACAACGTGCAAATGCACCGATGAAAAATCGAAGATAGCACATTACATATACTAGTTTTTACACAAAGGATCAAACAAATTGATCCCAACGAACTCGCACACTCCTATAAATCTCTATACTCTGAAACTTATACACATACAACACGACAATGCTACTTTAGCATTTCTTAATAATCGTACAAACAAGTTAGAATCAAAGATGGATGAATGGATGCCGGAGAGTTGGAAGGAAGCCAAAGAGAAAAACGCCACGCTGCAGCTTATATAACTTTTATCTGATCAAAAGCTTACAGTAAAAAAGAATATTACAGAACCCAAATCCTTTGCCACACAGTAATTGGTGTAGCAAATCGAAAATGATAGTAAAAGTCCCGAACGTTTTTCCCATCTCCTTTTTTTCACACTCTGTACAGTGTATCCCACTCAAACATGGGCAAAAATGTTCGACACCCGGAAAACTCACCCCAGTCAGTTTAGACCTCTTTCTGGGAACAAAAGCAAAACATGATAAACAAAAATACGCAAATCGGAAGTCGGAAGTCAGAAGTGCTCTTTCATCATCCGTATCTTTTCTTCTGATCGTTTTTTTCGCCTATATAGGTACAATTTCCCCACTCTCACAGAAGAAGGCATCCGAAATACTCTATCTGAATAACGCTCCTTTGTTACCACAAATCAGTAAAAACTCATTTTGATTGATTTGTTGGATATGTCCAAGTTTAAGTATCGAGCTCATAAATCGTCTTTATATCCCATATTCACAATATTCCATTTAAGACCCTCTGATAGTAATCATACTGCCGTGTACGCCAGGCATCCAGGCTGCTGCTTATCAGAGAAAGCACTAACGACACACAGTGCTGCTAGAGATTAACAACATTTGTGAAAAATGTGCAATAGAGCATATATGATGTATAAGAAGCTGATTTATCGAAAGAGAAAACAAACCTCTTCTGTCAAACTCAAGTGAAAGCGTTTCCTCAAGTTTTGTATTGTTCGTGGACCACCCTTGAAACAAGGGAAGCCAGAATCCTGAGATAACCAAAGGGCAAAGCTCATATTCCAAATGCTAAATCAAAGAGGAGTATTCATCTATAATCAACACTGTTCCCTCATGCCATGAGAAAAAGGAAATTTCATATTCATCCATGCACAAACACTGTAAAATAATATACCAGTAGACTTCTATATACAAAAATGGTGAGTTCAGCCAAATATTTCTAGGACAAGGCTAAAAAAATATGACCAAATTGATTGCTGTTATGACTGGAAACCTTTGAGCATTTGACATGTCGGAAGATAATCTTAATGAGTTTAAAGATCTTTTAAAGGGTAAACGGCTCTAGCCCTGCTCAAGGGCTTTAAAGAACTAGGCCAAACTCCCATTTTTTGAAATTTGATCGTAGTTTACGTCATTTCAGATGATCTTTAAACGAACTAGTATAATTTTCTTTGGAATTTCAAAAGGAGTCCTAGGGCATTCCAGCTCCAGCCACTTAATAACAACTAACAACCATGGGAGTATCAGATCACACAAATGCAGAACAAAATAATTTTGAAAGGTATATGAATGAAGCCAAGGAAAAGGCTTCAGCCTCCATTCATGTGTATCCTTCTAAACATTACATTTAAGTTGCACAATCACTAAATTTGAGTTGCATAGCTTCTTTTTCTATTAGAGAAAATTAAAGGATTCAAAGACAACTCTGGGGCTCCAATCATAACAATGATTATCTGAAGGAAACATATATTCAGCGAAATTCATCTCTTTTCCCCAAAAATAGTGGGAAAAAAGAAGAGAACTTCCCTTTTGACAACCCAGGTTCAAAAAACTGATTCTACGGTTTATTCCAGAATTTGTTTTTTCTTCTTTTTTGCAGACAAGAACAATCGACAAGGTCAAAAGTTGTGACCTAGACCTTGCCTTGAAAGAGAGTTAGAACTTACAACAAGAATCTAGGTTAAAAAATGCAGTTTATTTATGATGTAATAGTCAGGAAATCCGTGTTCTCCATTTAAATTATGAGTGTCTTTGTTGCAGTTGAAATATCGTAACATGGACAGGACAAAAATTGGAAGGTTAATAATCTTTCCGTTCGGGAGTGGAGAGGAAAAGAAGGCTGACTCAAACAAAATCATATATGGCAAAGTATCACATATTGATTAAACTATAATGCTCTATCGTATAAAATGGTAGAACAATTTCAGGAGTCTTTCAAATGGGATTAGAAAGTCAAATCCATCCACACACTACAGCTTACGGGCCCCTACTGAACAAGTCTATGAAAATATAAATATAGCTAGACAAAAAAATATTCAGCTAATCTTACCTGCAGCATCTCAACAAGAAGAATTATGCGTTCTGCATGTTTACGACACGTTAAGAAACCTTGGATGCATAAAACCTGGAATGAGAGAGAAGCAATAAACACTATAAATCTCACAAAACAACCGGAAAAGTGGAAATTACAAGTTGAGAACAGTGTATAGCAGCAAAATCAACCATTTACCTTAAAATAATCAAAAAATTCGCTTGGCACCCCCTCAGCATCAGAGTCCATCACCTAGTACAAATTAATTATTATGCAGTTCATACCACACTACAGTTTACATAATCAAAAGAACTCCAAGAAAGACACCAAATGTGGCCATATGTGATCATGTACAACTGTAACAAGTATTGATTCTATCAGCCAAATAAGTACTAATATAACGTCTTACCTCAAGAAGTTCACGTGTTAATTTAAATGGCGCACTTTCAAAATTTACACCCCCAGGTGAATTAGAAAGCATGAAACCAAAGTCTATGTGTATGATATGACCTTCTTCATCCAACAACAAGTTCCCGTTGTGCCTATCCTTCACCTGAGATAAAAAAAGACGCATTGGATAAGGTCACATGTAAGAGAAAGTCATTTGAAATAGCAGCAACTATAGATTATGACCAAATCGTAACAATAAAATCTGTGACCACGTGGCTCTAGGTTGTACCAGTTTCTTTATCCAGAATTGGTAGATATATTAACATCATACATTATGAAATGTGACAGAAAATCATGACATTTGACAAAGTGAAAAAAACAAATATCACCAGCTTCTATCCTGTGAGACTCGTTTAAGTTTTTTATTTTCCTCACTTATTTTAGCGTTGGAATTTTTTATATGGGAACAGAAATGCAGAAAGAAAAATGAGAGAGAAAATGCACCAAGCAAGTAAAGTTGCTCCATAGAAAAAACTCAACCAAGCAGATCTTAGATATGTACATATTCATCAACGAAAACTTAGAAAAAATTGTTGGATCCGTTTTGGGTTTCTCGTCAACATTGTTTTGGTAAAATATATTGAAAAGTGTGATGTATTAGAAAAATAAACTGCATTCGAGAACATGATGTATGTTTGATTGTATTTTGAGAGAACAAAAACAAAGATTATCCTTATGTTTGTAACTGTACCCCACTGATATCACAACACAAGTTAAGAGAGGGAGAGAAGTTTATTACCTGCAAAAGGTAGCAAACCAAAGAGTACCCAGCCATGCTTTCAACGAAGTTCCTCTACAAGTAATAATGAAATCGCTAAACTTACTTAATAAATTTTAAAAAGTCGTAGTTTAAAGTCATAGGAAAGCAAAGCAAGAGAAATTAATCAAAGTAGTCAACCATAAGATTTAACAGTATTTCTATATTTATTTACCTGAGCAAGCTTAAAAGCGGGAGAATTTTCTTGATACTTAGCGATAAAGAAGTCGCGCAAACTTGAAATATTTGGAAATCTGCTCTTGATCGAATGAAGCGACGCCTGGTGGAAAAAAGAGAGTAAAAGTTTCTTTTTAACTATGAGATATCATATAAGTGGATTCGACTTGATTATCATAGGAGGACTCTAATTACCGTGTCTGGAATAGTTTCAATGAGAGCTGTATAAGAGGAAGTAACTAATACTTCATAAGGACGCAACCACAGAGGGAGACCAGCTTCCTGGAATATATCTAGCATTTCGGAAGTAAGAAGAGCCCATCAAAAGTTTGACAATGAAGCACAAGAGCAAAAATGCTAGGGAACCAGCATGACTTGTTCAATTCCAGCATCATAATTCGGTAACTGAAGAAATAAACTGCTAGGTAATCAAGGAGTAACACAGCCACACTTTGGACACCGTCCACTTATAAAAAATTTAGAAGTTCGTATGTAAAATCAAATAAATTGCCTTTAAAAAATATTCCTGGAAACTTCAAATAAAATCAATGAAAAGTTAACTTCTTATAGTATAGTTTCTATCGTACAACATATAGCACACCCTTCTACATTTTTTCAATCAGCAATACACATTTACACCTGAGCCTCATCCCTTTTTGAATTGTACTAGAGCTGAAAAAAATAAAGTTCTTCATATGTTTGCCAGTCTGCCTAACATCTCTATTTTAAATAGAGGTAATTTCGGAAGAAGATTTCCACTATAGGAAACAACCCATTATTTGTTGACATCCTAAAAACAAGAGTGGGGCAATTCAGTTCGGACAAAAAGAGTGTACAATGATTTATGCCACAAATAAGTTATATTTCATAAATCATAATTCTCAAATTCTCAAGACATTATGAGCTACTCTAATTGATTTGCATAAAGTGCCTTGATAAGGAGCTCAAGAACCTCTAATAAAACATTTTAACAAGCGGGTCAATAAAATTCAACATTCACACAGCATTTTGATTCTTCTGAGCTTATTATCAGTTATAGTTTCTGGAAGAGCAAATAAGCATATTCAATTCCCTAATCACATTCTCAAATCATCAATTGTCCACCTTAAGAGAAGATAAATGTTACTCACCTTTTGAAAAGCGATAATAAGAAAATAGGAAGACTAAAACACATGCAGAAAAAAGGAATCTAGGAAAAAACAGGCCAAGTAACTTGAACCAAAATTCAATGGGAGCATGTGGACCTACCATAGAAGTGAGAAATAAGTTGTACAGCTAGGTGTTCCTGCCTACAGTCATCGCCACTCTTCACAATTACCTAGATAAAGCAAGAGCAGGATGTATTAGCTGGTGCAGGGGAAACAATGAGGAGCGTGCATATTAAACGACATTGCAAAGGAAAATCTGAAAAGAAGATTGATAAGTGCTTGCCACCATTTGCCACCTAAAGTGAGACATACTACCAAGCAATTGATAACCCAAAGAATGAATATTACATCTCTCTGTAGCAAACAGTATATGTCAAGAAAATGTACGCAACAAGCCTTCCTGATATCTGGGGATATAATTGATTGCTAGATTTGCTATACTCCATGTCAGATAAAATACTCAAGCAATTACGTACACAGATGAAGATATGCTAGACATAGATATTGGGAAACTGTTTACTATATACAGTTATTTTTGTTTTCAAACTGAGGAAACCAGGTTGAATGAAACAAGACCATCAAAAGGCACCGAAACCTGCAATTCAATACATTACAAATAGAATCTTCGGCATACTGAATTGAGATGCCAGATAAATGACTGCCAAAATCAGGTGACTCGAGATGCATCATGTATTTTTATAAATGTGACCTACTCACACCAACAATGAATTTAGATTATAATTGATATTATTTCCATGCTAGGTTAGCAGGTGTTGTGACATATTGGAGAATCATGCATCAGTTTTCTTTAAGCCTTTCTGGGATTTCAATGCATTGGGAACTTTCCAAGGGTTATTGCATCTTTTTTAGGGAAATTTTGGGGAACGAGTAACTATCCTCCTTTTAAATAAAAATAAATAAATAAATCTGGTTGTTTCTAACAATTACATATTACACGTCACATTCTCTACAATCAATGTTTTACGTGATGGACAAATTTAAGTCAATAGGTTATGAAATCAATAGAAACTAGCAATTCTAAGTAATATTAACAGCCCAGAGCGTTGCTCAAGTCTTTGAATCACTAAAGCAAAAATAGTTTCCTCTCATTTATATGCCTGACCAACACTGAAATCTGTCTTAAGTTATCCTCACAAGCTCTATATTTTAAAATTATTGTCAATAATTTTCCTGCAATATAGACATTAAAGGTAACCGTAATGTCAAATTACTATGACCACAAAGAACAAGAAAGCTTTTCCAAAATGCATATTTCCCTTGAAAAATGGTAAAGGTAAAGGGAATAAAATTGGTAAAGCCACAACTAAAACCAAAAAACAGCGTTTCATCAAACATAACATTCTGGCCATTGACCTACGCACTGGATCACTGCAAATTTGTCATTTCTAGAGAGAGAGAGAGAGTAACAACTTACTGAGCGCAAGTCCCAACCAGATAATTTTCCATATCCTGAGGCTTTACGGATTCTTTCCTTCTTTACCTCCCAAAGTTCACCGGCTAATGCATCGCCTATATTGGCAACACCACCATTTGCAACCTGTTTATATTTGGACCAGTACCCATAAAACCCATAGTAAGATAGATATTGATACCAAACAAAATGTGGATTTTGACCAAGTAAGCACCTTTGGTTGTGCATCTGATGAATCCTGACCAGCGCCTTTCAAGGGAAGACCTGGAGGTGCTTCTCCTTTCAATGCAGCAGCCTAAAGGCATAATGTGAATTAATAAATATGATGACCAAATAGGAGAGGTTACCCACGAAGAACTGTCTCATGGAAAGAATGTTTATAAATAAATTTGAGAGGATTACCTTAACTTCCTCCATAGCCACAGTACTAGGAACACGTCGATGCTCTTTCCGTCGAGGTATATCTTGGTCTACTATATCCTCCATGTTAATCCCAGCTTCAGCAGATAATACAACCCTCACCCATTCCAAATCACAGCTACCCTTCAGTTGACATGCACTAACAACCTCTCTGGTCGGGCTGCTACTGGAAGCAGGTTCCGGTAGCTTCTCCACAGAAAAATTAACATGGACAAATTTCACTTTGGACTCCCACAACTGAGACATTGCCTGGTCTATCGCTTCAGATGTAGAACTTGACATTCTATCATAACCACTATGGTACATATCCTGTCCTGGCCCCAGAGGATAAGCCCATGGAGGAGGCTTTGGCAAAAGTGCGTCCCCATTCGCCAATGGGATTCCTCCTCTAGAAAGTTTGTGTGAATTGGAAGCATCCTTTGGATTACTATTTGAAGGAGATATAAAGAAACACATCTATTAATTCATCATCGAATAAATTAGAAATCATCACAGAAGTTTAAAATTAAAGTAATATATAAATAAGGGTAAACAACAAAAAACTATCCTTGAGGTTTGACATGTTACAAAAAAACCTTGCTATGTTTGTAAACTTGATTTTTAATTTCCAGTAACTCAAAGTACCTACAATAATACAAACCTCAAGCAGGTAAAATTTTGAAATTTAGCTACGTTTTTCGGTAATTGAACCAAGCCTCAAGAATAGTTTTAAATTCACCCTATCACCTTATAACTAATGCAGCAAATGCGACTACCTTGGAGCTTCACTCTTTAGAACTTCAATACAGATGAGGTAAGGAGCCTTTTCTCTTGAATTCATGAGCACAGCTTCATCTTCCGGTATGTGAACCACACGATACATACCCTTACCCATAGGAAAACATATTCCTGTGGCATCATACGACACAGTGAATTATATCTTCTAGTAAACATGATTAGTATATCTAAACATTTAATAAGCAAATACCATACATTCTTCTTTATATTTGTGGTCGACATAACTAAAAAGGAAGTACATAACTAAAAAGGAAGTACAGTACATATGCACGTATGTGAAAAATAATAATTTAGGAAGATAAGCTATTATATTATGTCAATGCTAATAAGAACCATAAACTGCACTAAAAACATCAAAAGAAACATATACATCCAATGCAACTTATGAGTAATGATGCTACTCTTCATGGAATTCTTTGACCAGTAACAACTTAAACTTCCAAGTTCTCATTTTCTCAAAATCTACATGAAGAAAAGCATTATTAAGATCAAATAGCCAAAAGTGAGACACATCAGATCACAAACTCATCTCATCAGACAATAGATAGGAAACAAACATATTCATAACCTGTTGATACCACATTAAAATAGTCTATAAGAATGGAAATGTTCTCTCATCAAGGAACATATCAAAAAATTTAAGGCATGGTCATTATAGTTAGAAAATATTATAGAACAAACCACAGTGAAAGGTTATTTTCAGACTTTGACCTGCCATAGACTACAACCTGCTGGCTCCCTAGATCCAGATACAATTTTTCATTCAACAATAACATATCACTATATCCAAGAAAAGGCAATGAAATGAAAATAGTTGGAAAGAAGAAATCATAATTGTAGCAATTCAAACAGACATTTTACACAAAAGATAGAGAAGTGTGAATAAAAAGTAAAGCAAATCACAACATAACAGTCGACATGCTCCAAACTCAACCAGATATCCTCAGTATCCAGGATATAGCAACAGAAACTATATAAACAAAAAGAGAAGAATCAACATTTCCAGAAGTTCCGAACAAGTTTTCACCAAAGAGAAAGAAAAACAGAAAATGGCTAGCACAGTAACATACATCGGCAAGATAACAATACAAAGAAAGGTAACAAGCTAAGACATTCATTAATGTTAAACTATACATACCTCCTTTATTTTGTGCATCACCTATATGTGCATTGATCTCCGCAAGCGACTGAAAAGACAAAACTAAAAACTTTAGTATAGCGTAATTGACGCACCAGGTGATGTTTAAGTAGAGGAAAATTAGCTCAACCTCACAAAGAGCAGCTTTTCGATCTTCAACGGGAAATACATCAACAAGGCCATAGGATGTCTCACATAAAGTTTGAACAAAGTCGAGTGATTCATGATATGTCCCTTTTCTAAGCTGCGATGCACTACTAGGAAGTGGAGGTTTAGTTGACTTTTCATTTCCCTGCTTTGGTGAGCCAGGGCAGTTCTGCAAAATGAGATTTTATTGGTACCAATAACTAAAAGAAACCAGTCCATAACAAGTATTTCACAATAAGGAATAGAAAGTAAAACATATAACAGAAACTAGATACAACTTAAATAAAATAAAATCAAAAATCTAAAATAAAATCAAAAAGACGCTGCAACCACTACCAAAATTCAGCACAGAAACAATTTATAAATGCAAGGTTTGGAACATATCCTGAAATTATGAGCACACTAGCAGAATGATGCCAGCAGAACAAAAGTGCATAAACTAGCACACACGATTAATTCATCATCTTTATGCATGATGATTATGGTTTCTCTTTCCTTTCACCGTTTGCTTTTACACGTATTTTAAACAAGACTATTGAGAACGGGGGCATATAATGATATTACTAACAGCTAATCAGTAATGAGTAACCATGAATCAGCACCTTTTGAATGACGGTTGTTTTAACTTTTATCTATATGGAAATTGACTTTGACAAGAACTACTTTGGCCAGGTATCCAAGCCACTTTATGTCCATTATCACATTCAAAATTTCTTTGTCTAACAAGTTTTGAAAAGAACAGATGTGACATAAGTATCATGGACTCCTGCAAACCAGGAATGGAGGTTGCAATTAGAGACCTATTCTTTCCTTGGCATTACCAGGGATGTATTTTGGGAAACATTTAAGCACTTCTCTGTACTCAAGAATTGTGCAAAGAAGTGGTTCAACTATTCAATGATTTTCTTCTCGCTAAAATGATTTTGTTTTCTAGTTCGGCAAATAAGAAGTCTTAAACAATAGGAAGTCTGAGAGGGTTTTCAAAAGACTTCTAACGAGAGTATCTATCAGACTCCAAATACAATCATTTTGAACTTCAAAAAGTAAAGTACAGGTTCTCATGTTACTGCGAAGCCTTAAACAATTTCTCCATTACCAAAAACCATTACTCTCTAATTAGCCACAGCAGTAACACCAAAACATCCAAAACACTGATTACGTTTTGGAATGCATGATAAACCAACTCCAAAAGGATTTAAAAGCATACTACTCCAACCTATATCGTTCATAAAACCCAAGCAGTCTCTTAAAGTTTCCAAACTCCCCTCTACCAGTTTGTGATTGCTCTCCAAAGTGAATTCATTAAATGCAATGCATATTATAGCTTCCAAGAGCTGAAAGATAGTTCAATACCTTGTTCTATTATTCAGGAAATCCCCGAACAAATGGCAACTCCACCAACAAATAATGTAAAATCAAGTTATTAGACACCGAAATAATCATCCCATTATACTTGCATTGCAACAAATTACGCCCATAGTATGAATATAAACTCAGACTAGAGTTGAGAAGACATTAAAAAGACAATAGATTAAACCACCATAAAATAGCACAAACAGTTCTTAATTTTGAATGCAATGAAAACAGTCAAATACCATAACAGGACAAAATTAACTAAATTAACACACTGTCAGTTATAAACAATAAAATCAGCAAAATAAGGAACTGACCACTTTGTTCTTTTTCGAACCATAGAGTTCAGAATCCTCTAAGGAACGGTCACGGTCCTTGAACAGCTTGCGGAAAAAGTTTTCTGTTCCAGGACTACTTTCAAGCAAACTGCTACTGTAGCTATTATCATTTGCCATTGAATTCTTGGAATCTTCTGGATGGACACGAAATAATCTACGGAACAATGTAAATTCTGAAGGCTCCTCATCTTCACCATTTGCATTTCCCTTTGCATCTTCATCATGCCGGTCAGTCGCAGCTTTTAATTCAGTCGCAGCTTTTTTGTCATCAAATTTTTCCTTGAAAAATTTCTTGAAGAACCCTTCTCTATCATCATCTTCAGAAGTCTTTGCCACTCTTTCTACGTCATCTTTTTTTTCGTTGTCATCCTTCTTATCCTCATTTTTTTCCTTAAAGAGTTTCTTGAAAAAACCTTCCTTTTCATCATCTTCGACAGATTTCGACAACATTTTTTCCTCCGAATCATTTTTACCATCTCGAAACAACCGCTTAAAAAATCCATCCGTGCTTGAGCCAACCTCCTCCTCCTCGTCTTTAGCACTCAAAAGCCTTCGGAAAAACCCATCTTTCTCAAACTCCTCATCATGCTTTTCCATCGACTTCCTCACATCCTCATCTCGACTACTGCTCAACAACCTCTTGAAAAACCCACTCTCTTTCTCATGTTCTTCTTCATCTTTCGATCTATCCAATGACTTCTTCATATCCTCATCCCTACTATCCCTCAGCAACCTCTTGAAGAACCCAGCTTCCTTCTCGGTCTCCTCGTCATTCTCATTATCCTTACCCACAGACTTCCTCATATCTTCATCCCTACTATCCCTTAACAGACGCTTAAAAAACCCACCATCCTTCTCAGACTCATCTTCCTTATCCACCGATATCCTAAACAGCAAAGCATCCCGTACCTTGGGACCCGGCATAAACTTCTTAAAAATCTTATTATTCTCGTCCGGCGATCCCATCACCTTACCACTGTCATCATGCACTATCGAATTCCCAGGTGTCGGCGAAAAGGAGAACGACCTAGAGACCGATGCAGCATTCGGAGGCGACGAAGTCAAGGACAATAGCTTCTGCTTCGACGACAAGAACCTGTTCAGTACCTGATTACCGATCGGACTACCGCTACTTCCATTATCATTAATACTAGACGATATCGACATAAAACTAATACCCTGCTGCTGCGGCTTAATCAAAGGCGGCCATTCGCCCGTTAAAGTGGCGGCGAACTGACACTTCTCCTGAATCCTACTAATCCCCTCGTTATCATCTACATCCTCCAACTCCGCCATTAGAAACCAGTGGACTTTCAGCGCGATTTTCAGCGATCTCGAACAAATATCGATTACAAACTTGTCCAGAGAGGGGCTAGGCTTGTGAATTAACATGTAGCAGATTTGGAACAAGTAGCTCTCGATGCCGGAGAGGGGGAGAGTATACATACGATTGCAGAGATAGTCTCGCACACCGGCATGATCGTGCTTGTAGAGGTAGCTGACGGCGATCCATTCGCAGAAGAAGGACGAGTCAAAGAATCTGATTAGCCACCCGCTCTCCCCCGTGCTTTCACTCGTCGGAATCGTCCGAGTCACCTCGCGAGGTGAATCGGTCCAGTCTCCGAAGGCGCGCGTCAATCCTAGTAGCCTCACCATCGTCAATTCCTGCTCATCCTAATCATGAAATTCCAAGCCCTAAACCCCTAATTTTTTTTTTTGCAGATTCTAAAAACTCTGTATCCGCGTCCGTGTATCTATTATCGTTTGAAAATCGAGAATGGGAATACGAGGCGGGGCAATTGGGTTTTTCAACGACGCCGTGTGATTTGGCCGGCGCCGGGATAGGGGGGGAATCGTGGGAGGAAAAAGAGGTGGTGGTGGTGGGTGCTAACGTGCGCGGAGATTTGTATTTTTCTTTTTTCTTTTTTTTAATTTAAATTTGATTGTTGGTGAAGTTTGGAGTGGGGGTGAGTTAGCAAATGCACAATTTTTCTGTTGGCGAGAAAAAAATTAATTTGAAATTTTTGTTGCACATGTGAATTTGTGATTGCGTTTTGCGACTGGTTTTTCAATTGCTCGTGTTTTGAAACTTTGGTACCAGCAGATTTGGAAAATAATAATTTATTTATATATTTTTGTTTTTTTTGGTTATACCAACTTCGCATTGTTCATTTTTTTTTAGACCAAAGTCTATTTAGATAAGTTTTTCAATGAAGTAATGACAAAATATTTTTTAGTTTAGATACAAAATTTTGAAAAGGTAATTGCCAGATAAGTTTTTTTAATAATGATAGTGTGGGTTCATTTGGCTAAACTTAATTTAAATAGTTGATAAGCTCTTACGTATGAAAAAAAAATAAAGAGCTGACAAGCTGTTAAATGATAAATCTTATTTTTAGAATTAATTTTTGAAGTGTTTGGATAATGATTTTTTTTGTTATTTTACTCATTATAAAATTTCAAATAAAAAAGTGGAATAACCATACGAAACAGGCAGTAAACTGTTTTTTGTTTTGAGTTTCGTACATTAGTACACGAAATGTACATACTTATTTCGTGTACTTTTTTGCATAATTACAGTCACCCTTCAACTATTGACGAAAAAAAACCCATCCATATGATGATTTAGAGGTGTTCATTCGGTAAGACAATTTGTATTTTGATCCCTCAGTTTTGGAGCGAAACGAATATGAAGATTTCTCTCACTTTTTCCAAGTTGATATTGTGTTCGATAGTAGGGAAAAAATAATCAAGTGGGCCAAAGCAACTGCAGTTAGTCATTGTCACCGTTTGATTTGTCAATCTAGAAGGGAGAATGCACATTACTTGACGTGTAACAAATACGGACACGGCCGACACACAAATATCGATGTGGAAGATCCTAGAAACATTGGAACAAAAAAATGTGGTTGTCCGTTCAAATTGATTGGCAAAAAGTCAAGGTTTGATGAATTATGGCGGTTGACTGTCAGCGATGGCCGGCATACTCATCCTCCGGCTTTGTTTCCTCACGGATAGGGTACGACTAGTCGTATAACTCCACAACAGAAAGCAAGAATTAAAGGATTGAGAAATTCTCACATGAAGCCAATGCTAATCATGGATAGATTGAGGAAAGATGATCCGACGATACAAACCTCTATGAAGCATGTTTACAATGAGATGGCCAAGATTAAATCTGATAAAATGGAGGGCATGACTATGATGCATAACTTTCAACAAGGCGAGTATCGATATTGGCATCGCGTCGATAGTGAAAAGAGCAACACAATAACAGATGTTATGTTTGCATGTCCCGAATCTATTAAGTTACTACGGATATTCTCGTATGTTATATTGACGAACTGCACATACAAAACCAATAAGTGAGTAAAAATTACGATTCTTCAAATCATGATTGTTGTGTTTTAATGTATTGTATTGTTTAAATATGTAAAAACAACATAGTTGTAGGTATGGAATGCATCTTTTGGAAATAATTGGGATAACTCCAGTTGGGAGGAATTTTACAGTTGATGTTGCATTTATGTCGCATGAAGATGCAGACACCTACGAGTGGACTTTGAATTGTTTGAGAGAGTTGCTAGATGGTGTCGAACCTGATGCGATCTTGACAGACAGGGAGTTGGGTCTTTTGAAAGCACTGTCAAATGTCTTCCCAGTTTCGTATCATATGTTGTGTATATTCCATATAAACATAAATGTTGAGGCAAATGCGACAAAATTTATGGGATGCAACAAAGACCAAGGTCTAAAATTCCGACGTGTGTTGTGGGCTAAGCTGGTGAAATCAGAAACCGAAGAAGAGTATCATTACAATTACAATGAAATTGTTGGATGATATGCATGATATCCTAGACTGATACAGTATTTGAATGATACGTAGTTGATATACAAGGAGAAGTTTGTCCGAGCCTATACCCGCAATGTGTATCATTTTGGCAACACGAGAACCAACGGGTATTATATGTTTTAGTTATTTAAATGATAAAATATATTATATAAAATTAATATTTATTTTGTAATTTGATTGTCGTTGTATACTTTGATTGTTGTTGTGATCGGATAGGGTGGAGAGTACTCATTCTTCTACGAAGGGTTGGTTAAATGCTTCTATCAGAGGTCTGGATAACGTGCAAGGCAAACTTCGGGACCAAGTTTATATCCAAATTAGTCAGCTGAAGTGCGATCTTTCATTATCAACCAAGATAAGGAAGCATACTGCATCATGATCGCGTTTTCAGGGTTTGATTTGTTATGTTACGTATCTGGCATTAGAGAAATTGGATCAAGAGATGGAGTCCGCGACGATGCAAGATCCGAGTATTTGCACACACTGTCTTTGGAATACTCGTGGGCTTCCTTGCGCGTGCAAAATTTTGCAGAAAATGGAAGATAATGACACGTTCGTCATTTAGACTTGCATCCATTCTGGAGTACCATGACAGTTGAACCTTCGGAGCTACATGAGTATCAAGTAAACCGTGAGGCGATTGTGGATAGACAGATTGATGATCTGAATTGCAATTTGAAGAAGATGAATTACACGAGTAAGATAAATATTGTGGCATCATTGTGTGGCATCGCTTATCCGTCTACGTCGCATCTGTCCGAGCCATCATTTGTTAAGACCAAAGGACGACCAAAGAATAACTCGACAAAGAGAGACCCTTCCGGATGGCAGTATCATATTGATGAGAAGACAATTAAGTCGTCTTGTGGTTCCAAGGATCGCCAAATCTCATCTGGTGCAAAGATTCCTAAAGCAAAGGTTGAGAGAAGCACTGATGGAACGCCTCAATCTAAGATGAAAGGTCGTGGTTCTCGTATTCCCACACAAGAATTTGCTGCCCCTACGATACCTGCACATGAAGGAATCGACTTTTATTCTTTTGTGCTCAGATTTATTGTCTGTCTTATTCAAGATTATGTTAACGTCATGGCTGATGGCAACTGTGGGTACCGGTGCGTTGCTCAAGCCGTGTACGGGGATCAAGAAAGATGGCCGCAAGTGAGAGGGGAGTTGCTTATTGAGTTATACGAGCATGCTAATGTGTACATGACAATGTTTGGCAGTACTGGATACGCTGAGGTCATACGCAAGTGTGACCTTTGTCCACAAGCTTATTGGATGGACATGAATGAAATGGATTGGGCATTGCTACCAAATACAATGCATTAGTGGTACTTTTGACCCAAGTAGGGAGTAGGACTTACCTTCCTATGTTTGGCAGTGGTCACTTATCATGTATGATTGTTGTGACATTGCACAACAATTATTTCATATTTGTTAATTTGGTCGCGAAAAGTCATCTAGCTACCACTTATCCATCCGGCATGGGTACATCATAGAGCTAAAAACCCGAGACACTTACTCAAAATGTTCAAACCCCGACTACTCTTGTACGAACAATTAAAGTCTGGTTGGTAGTTCAATTTGTAGTTGTATTTGAATTTTAGTTCAATTTATATTTGTATTTGAATTTTAGATCAATTTGTAGTTGTATTTGAATTTTAGTTCAATTTGTATTTGTATTTGAATTTTTTAGGTCAATTTGTTTTTTTACTTGAGTTTAAGAATATTTATGTTAATTTATTTTATTTATTTGAATGTTTGAAATAAGTTGGTTAAATTAAAAAAACAAATCAATTAGTGGTTTCGTACTAAATTGTATGAAACATTTACCTTATATTTCGTGGAAAACTCTACGAAATATAATGTGTAATTTCGTGTTTTATTTCACGAAGGAGAAGAATGTTTTCAATCCAACAGTTTCGTGTATGATTGTTGTATAATAATAAACACGTAAATTTCGTGTAAAAATACACGAAATTGTTGTGTGATTTCGTAATTTAACACCCGAAATAGCGGACAAATTTGGTTTTTTTTTAAAGAAAGTTACAAATGAAATAAATCGCACTGCAAGGCGGTAAAAGTTGCACTATGAATAGCATTTCAGTTACTTAAATTTGGAAGGGGCAAAGGATTAAGGAATTAGGTAATTACGCCTACACCCTTGAGCTGTGCTAAAATAATTCTAAGATCCATATTGGTCGGACTATTAATTACAATGAGACCCCCCCGAAACATTGTTAGAGACCCTAATACAATAATTGGATAAGTTATTTCGTTATGGTTCTAAAAGATTGTTCGTTTCAGGAAGTGGTGGAGACAACATAAAGCTAGGGGGTGACATGTATCCCCAACATTTCTTAAATCCAATTATTTTCATATAAGATTTATATAGTTTCGTTTATGGTAGCATTAAAGCCCCTGCAAAAATAAATATAGTGCATATCGGTCTCCAGAACATGAAATCTTGGCTCCGGTAATTGCTTTAACGGTGTGACTATAAATATCAATACCACAGGGATCTTAAAGTTATTTTAGTATACATTAGGAATGTAGGTGTAATTTACCCTAACTAGGAGTTGAGAGAGATAGGGTGGAAAAATTGGGTCGGGTCAACGTAGTAAATTCAAAATTAATGAGGCCAAAATATCTTAATTAGAATTATGCTGGTGTGCACATAGTTAATTAAATAATAGTTTATTGATCAAAAAGTCATAATGTCATTATATTTTTCTTTCAAATGTATCCATTCTTAATTCATTTGAAATTTGATGAGTAAAATGTGCATAAGCCTAGGGTCATATTTGCTGTCGATCGTTTGCTTCATTGGCTCTCCCTCTCACCTTCGATATTATTATGAGTTAATTGCATACAAACCCCTGTCTAATTTCATATTGACGAAAAAATCCTCGTATTAAAAACATTAGCATTAAAAACATTAGCGATGACCCCCATATGTTATATTTTATGAAGCACACTGCCCCTTTATATGAAAATTTGTGAGCTAATAGCACGGACCCCCCTGTGTTATTTGTAATTGTTGAAAAAGTTCTTATGTTTTAAAAATTAACAAAACCCCCCCTATGTTTTATTTTAAAAAACACATAACCCCTTATTTAAAAATTAGTTGTTGACACACTTGCAATGACTCTAATGTCCCTACTTATTTTTGCTAATATTTTAATTTTGATCAAACAAAATAAAAGAAAATATAAATTAATATATAAAAAAAAAAACCAAGGGACTCTATCTTTTTCCCGTCACCCCTCATCTCAACCCGCCATTTTACGGTCAAATTCTTCCTTAAAAAAAAATTCGGCCAAATTCATATTCTTCATAGCTCACGCCGCTGCCCCAAGGGTCTCTTCTCCATCAACAGTGAGCTTTGGGTTATCGAGAATGGTGAATTTCAAGTTTTGGGTTGTCGAGAATGGTGAAGTTGAGGTCAAAATCGAAGTTTTTTCTTCCAATCTTTTACATGGAAAAAATGACTAAAAGGCTATGTCTTCTTTCCTTTTTACTTTTCTGGATTTGCAACAAAAATGACATTGAGGATATGGGTTCAGTTGATGGTTTTTGCTGCAAAAAATATTCAGAAAAAGTGGGTCGGAAAGATGGCCTTTCTGAAAATAGGAAGGACTGAATTGAAAATTTAAAAAAGTTCATTTTGGTGCAAAATATTTTGGGATAAATCTGTAATTATAAAAACTTCTAATATAAAGGGTATTTAGGTTATTTCAGGTTCGAAAACGCACCCCAGACGCACATACAACGAGTGTGGCGCACGATAACCTGTCAGGGGCCTTTTTGGCTTTGAATAACTTTCATAGGGGTTTCCTTGCTAATTTTTTTAACATAGGGGCGTTTTGAGCAATTAGAGATTTTACAGGGGTAGTTTTTGCAAAAAACCCGAAAATTTGTTGTTGACTAACATGAAATGAGTCAAATGACAATATTTCCCTAAGATCAGAAACTTCAGTTCCTAATTTTTTTAAACTAAAGGATGAAATAAGGGTGCAATTTAGACCGATGGTCTGTTGTAATAGGAAAATCGAATGCCATAGGATGATTGACACGTGGATAGTTTAAATTAAATAAAAATTTAATTATGATTCTAATAATTGAAAAAAATAAAAATGAAAAAGGAAAAAAGAAAACCCTAGCATAATCTGTAACCCCGCTAAACCTAATTATAATCAGCGTGATTTATTAAGAGTTAAGACTTAAGAATGTCACATGCCAAAAAATTAGTGGAATCCGATTTATATTAAATATCGGCCAATAAATATTTCACTACCCAACAATTTTGCCACTAAAAAATTGGAAGAAAAAAAATGAAACGTTGAAGATATGCAACCTGAGAAGGAAGAACCGGAAGAGAAAGAAAGAGCATGAGGACTAGAGAGAAGTCGAGATCTTGGTGTTTTTGTTGAGCCAAAAAAAAAAGATTACTCCTCAAATTTTCGACCCGAACCACGACCAATTTTATATTTTATGGCGAGAAGAAAATCCACAACACATACACACAGATGAACAACTATTACATGCATTAATGAATCACTTACACACTCATATATGAACCAACTTGTAAGAACATTAATTTGCATGTATACATTTTTTCTTCATAGAATAATGAAAATCTATGTAAAATTTAAGAACGTAACAACCTTGTCATCAATTAACACCATCTTTATGGCATACGGTTACATTGAACCATTGGAACGGGAAACAAACCACATAATCATGATGCCTACAATAAATTTCCGCTCAATTTTCCCAATTCTTATATCAACGGTGCTTGTAACATTTGGAGTCATAGTGAGAAGAACTTAAATGTTTACGAATAAATAATTATTGATTTAGAAGTGTTGAACCTGTAAAATACAATGTCCTATTTATAGATCGGTAGAATAGTGCATATAGTGAAAATGGACGGTTGATGATCGTGTGAAGGTTGGGAGAAAGTGGTGTTTAAAATGAATGTGGAAATTGACGGGTTTTTATCATGTCAAGGTTGGTTAAAATAATTCATTTTTTTGTCCATCTATTTAGACACGTTTAGAAAGAATTATTTTCCATCATTTATGATTTACCCAAAATAACCCTAGGTTTATAAATATTTCTCAAAAATAGGATTAGAGTTTTGGGGCAAAACCTTTCTTTTATGGCGGTGATTATATGCAATCGCAAAATTACTTAGGGGAAGACCAAAGCTAATTTTTCACCAAATGAATTACTAAAAGACTATTATACCCTTACTAAAATACAAAATCCACAATTACAAAATTACACAACTTCCTTTGAGCAAGACCACACAAGCAAAACCCATTTCATCTTCCTCACAAACCCATTTCACATAAATTCTTCAAAAAAAAAAAATTCTTCATCTTCTCTAAAAATCCTCAGCAGCCAAAACCATCAAATCTTACTAAAACATGCAAATGATAACATTATGGAGTCACGAGACATCAATATGGAGAATTCTATAGAAAAAATAGAAAACAAACTATGAATGAATGTATTTTTATAGTTAGGTGATCGATTTTTAAGTTTTCAAAAAGAAAATTTGCACAGCCAAAATTCGACATTGACATGTCGAATTTTGTCAAAAAATTCGACATTTAGATGTTGAGTTTTTAGCAAAAATCGACATCAACTCTAGATGTTGAGTTTTTGACGAAAAATCGACATCTTCATGTCGAATGTTGTGACAAAATTCGACATCTACATGTCGATTTTTCACCAAGAAATCAACATCTAGATTTTTGCCAAAAAATCGACATTTAAATGTCGATTTTTCACCAAAAAATGAACATGTACAGATCGAATTTTCTTCTTCTTCTTCTTCTTCTTCTTCTTCTTCTTCTTCTTCTTCTTCTTCTTCTTCTTCTTCTTCTTCTTCTTCTTCTTCTTCTTCTTCTTCTTCTTCTTCTTCTTCTTCTTCTTTCTCTTTCCTCCTTCCTCCATATTCTTCTTCTCTTCCTTTTCAAGCACCCGCAGTTGGGCGACGGCAATTCTTCGGTGGTGGATGGGCGGCGACAATTCTTCGGTAGCGGATGGGCGGCGACAATTATTTTCGTCTTGTGTTCTTCTCTTCTTCCCCTGCAACATCCCTCTCTCTCGTTTTTCAATTTCTCCTTTATTTACTTTTTTTTTTTCTTTTTGGTCTTGCAATAGTAATTATGTCTAATTTGAATGACAAAATCAATATTGAGATTATATTTGTAATTTTCAATCTTGCTCTTAGTAAGTGTATTTATATTTAGGTCTTGCATCAAATAAGTACTTACACTTAGTAATTTTAGTCTTGCGTATATTTGTTACCTTCTTTTATATATAAAGATTACGAATTTAATACGTTGTCCCTAAATCGAAAATGGAAGAAAATATTATTTGAACAATATTATTAATTTATAGAAAATTAATTTATTGAAATTCTAGTGCAATCCAAAACTACACTTTGTGGAAAAACCTTCAACAAGAAGAATGTAAGATTCACTCGAACTCAGAAAAACACAGAGATCTGTCGATGAGTGAAAGAAAGAAATGGGTAATCACAGAGTGTATCATCACCATTCCAAAAACCTCTCCACATCCAGAAATAGGAAATCATCGTTCCTATCAATTACCCTGTACGTGATTCTTCTCTTCGCCCTCTCAATCTTCATATTCAATCTCTTCAGCAGCAATAATGATGTTTTCGATGATGAACACAACACGACGATGCCTCTACTCAGAGTTGAGAAATCCAAATCGAAGCAGGTCTGTCATGCTTTTTGATTTTACAATCGTGTTTATCCCCCCTTTTTTTTTGTTGAATTTTGATAAATCATCGCGAATTCGCCATTTAGGTTTTGTTCTTTCCGATTCTGTTATGGTGTTTGATTAGGTCTGAATTCGGGTTGTTTAATTTTGATTTTTTGGTGAAGATTGTGCGTTTCGGGTAATTCGAAATCATAGTATATTGGATATGTGTTTTTTTTTTTTTTTTTTTTTTTTTTTAATAATTATTGTTATGAGATAGAGATTAAACGTTTGCTTGTACATTGTTGAGAAGTTGTATTAAGTGATCTGCCTTAGAAGTTGTTCATTAACTGCATTCGAACAGATTCTTTAAAGTCGCCAAGTGCATTTGGCATCGTATGTACTATGTATATAGTTATTTGCACCGATTCTTCTACAAGTGAAGCATGAATTCCACTCACTTATTTATTTTTACATTTTTTTTTCATCCTTGCAACTACGTACTAAGCTGCTACTAAGAACTCAACTTGCACTCATGTCATCCTTTTCTCCTATATAAGTTAGTGGTAAATTCATGAACTTGTGGCTTATCCAAGCAGAGCCCCAAAATATAGGCCCTCGTTTCTGTATAAATCGATCATTACACCTCCTTCATCTAGAGCCTGTCAATGTGGGCTGTGATTTTTATCATTGGAGGCAAATTATATGAGACTATAATAATAGAAAAATAATAAAAATAATTAAAAGAAACATTTTTTTTAACTTATAATTTTCTGTTAAGCATTAAAGCTTTATGATTAGAATAAATAATATTTCAATTGAAGGACCTAGGGGCTGGTAATTGGCAGCATGGCCTATTAGATATTCCCTTCTGAAGCTTTATACTGCAATCTTGTACTCGAAATACCTAATTACATGACTTAAGTAAGCTTATTTCTGAAAGCCTGGAAAACAATTATTACTGAGTACCTCCACTAGTTACTTGAATGCATTAAAGGTTTTAATTCCTAACGACGATGTTATTCTGTAATATTCTGCAGCTGTTGGATCATCGGCTTTGGGAACCTCCTTCTAGTCAGGGTTTGCATGAATGTGTTAAGCCAACCAGTAAATATAATAAAGGTACTTTCTTCTTGTCTGACTGCTTTCTTGTATTTACCTTTTTTAGAGCATGAATTATATTCTGCTTGGGAATAATATGTTCGACAAATATCCATATTATCGATTGCTTGGACTAAACTAAAATGTCCGAGTTTACTTTATTGACATAAGTTTTCAGCTGCCCATCTCTCTACCCTGCCTTTGCTCTTGCTTATTTTCTGTTACTAATAAAATTGGACTGCATCATATTCAGCTACACCAGTCTGGGATCGCTATATGACTGTCCGAAGTAATGGAGGATTAAATCAAATGCGCACTGGGGTAAGTATTTCTTTCCTCTTTCTCTTGTTCGGTCGGCACATTTGTCTTCTATAACATAAAAATATTAGCGAAACACTTGCAAAAATCACTTAAGATAGTGCATTCAGATATTTAAAACTTATATGAATGTTTCACCTTTCCTTTCCCTGCACACAGCCAAGAAAATTAGCAAAATAAAGAAAGCCAATGGCACACTTATGTCAGGACATGGTGACATTTTCTTTACTAGAAAATGTTATTCGCAACAGATCGGAACTTATATTACCTGCTAAAAAATTGTTTTCTTCAATAATTAACTTTTTTTCTAATAACATTATCTTACCTATACAAAGTGGAGTTTCAGTGTTGTTATTATTATTCAGGTACTGACTATTAGAAATCTGTTTCTGTCACTTGATTAACATCTAATGACATCTTACTTGTAGATAGCTGACATGGTGGCTGTGGCACGTATAATGAATGCCACATTAGTGATTCCTCAGCTGGATAAGAGTTCATTTTGGCAGGATTCTAGGTAAAAGGTTTACTTTAATGCCTCATCTATAAACCCCAACCCTTTCCTATATTATAAATCTCTAAACAATGGTTAATACACAATATTATGATTTCTGTTGTCGAAAGCATTTATTCCATTACTGTCTTTTAAAGATGACATTACTATTAGAGTTTATTTTCTCATTTATTAGGCATATATCAATCAAACATGACATTTTACTACTACACGAAAACATTCATCTCCATATGTGAATTCTGTTGACTTGAGCATATCAATTATCACTTTGGAGAAATCGAACATAACTTCTTGTTTGTCGTTATAATTATGTTTGTAGACATGTAGGTTCATGCCTTATATGTTTCCACTCAATTTTGCATCGGGATTATGTGCAGTACATTCTCTAATGTATTCGATGAACTTCATTTCATCGAATCTTTACAAGAAGATGTGAGGGTTGTGAAGGAGCTTCCTAAAGAAGTGGAATCTCTACCTCGAGCAAGGAAGCACTTCACCTTGTGGTCTGGTGTGAGCTACTACGAGGAGATGACACAACTGTGGAAGGAATATCAGGCAAGTTACTTTCTTTTATTATTTACTTGATTTCCGAAATGCGTGTAAGTAGCACTACACGTATACAATGAGATATAGGATTGTGTCAATTAATTTTGCTTGTTTGGGAAACAAGATGCTCAATTGTTTGATGATCTGCCTAGTACCTTTAGATTTTTATGTGAATAGAAACATAGATGCAGTTTTTGCCATGGTACCTAGTAGAGCATGACGTGGTCATACTACTGCTATATGAGACCACGACGATGCGAAGGTACAAACTTACAAGAAAACGTAGTTACATTGTGAAATTCCAGAATAAGTAAAATTTATGCGAAAATCTTTATGTAGTCTGGAAGAAAGTGTCGGCTGAGAGCTTGAAAATCAAAGATGAGTATGTGAATAAAATAAATTGGAAAAGGGAGATTTGTATACTGGGTGAGCACTCAAATTCACGCTCTATTCAAGCGTATATTTTGAGCAGATATAACTATAATACCTGATATATGAAGCAAATATGTGAACATAAGCAATTCGATGGAGATAAGCAGCAGATTACTGAGAGTTGGACGTCTCGGCAGTTTTTGTATTTTAAACAAAAAAGGAAAATCACCAAAATAGCCTGTGTCTGAGATGCCATTCCATCAGGCCACAATCAATTACCTAGCTGCATTTCAGGCTGGCCCCAATCAGCGTGGTAATAAATATTGACTATTAAATGTTTGACCCTATTTACAGAAGGATCCGCTGCCTTAAATAAATAAAGTTTTATTTGGTGCAATCGAACACGCAATATAGTATATATGAAAAAAGAAGAAGAAATGTTATGGTGCATCGTAAGAACCTTCGCTTTCTTTCTGTTTCAATGTGATACCCTCCCATGTTCAAAATAAATCTACAAATGAATTTAATGATACAAAAATGGCGATATAAGCTAACGTTTTAACACTGGAACTAATTCCTGTTAAACGTTAAGATAGCAGAAGAGCCTTACTAATTCTTTTGTTGCGTGTCTGGGAGCACTTTTTAAGTGAATGCATCTGTAGGACGTTGCTTTCTGTATTGACTTTTTAAAAGTTCTTATGATTGTTGTCAAGTGTTTATCACAATTACACTATAAATATACCCATCCAACTGAAGTAAATGGACTATTGGAGAACTGATCCTTCACTTTACATTAATGCACTAGCTGATGCCTTAACTCTTAGACATACGAATCACATATGTTCTTTTGATTGAGAGACACTAACATCCAGTTAAGTGGCGTTTCGGGTCGAGCCATCAAATGAAGAGTTGATGCCTAAACGGGCATTCGTAACAGTAAATTCTCCTATTTATACAAATAAGGATCTAATGTAGGTTTAATAATTACTGTAGTACTCCTATGTCATCTTGTTTTCAGAAACAAAGTCTATAAACTACCAAAAATTATATTCTTAAGAATCCAAAATATAAGATAGTTCTCTTATATTTTCTTTAAATCATGCACTGGTTGCTACAAATTTCTATACAATGCGAAACCACAACAGGAATTATAGTTCACCTATTGATTGTTTTGTGCAGGTAATTCATGTTGCAAAGTCAGATTCTAGACTTGCAAACAATGATCTGCCAATTGACATACAAAGATTGAGATGCCGTGCTCTATATCACGCTCTTCGCTTTTCTCCTTCTATTGAGATACTGGGAAAGGTGAAAACTGTTGCCCTCGATTTTCATACGAGACCTATTTGGTCATAATCGAAATCCGTTTAGGATAATGAGTTCATGGATGCAAAAAACATTAAAAAATGTCGTTGCCATAAATATATTAAGCAAGATTATGTATATACGATTACTCTTGAGTTTTTTGTTTTTTAAATTTACGCTGATGCGTTTTAAGAGGTATCTCCTATGGGGATTCACTTTATATTAAGTTCTGAGAATAAATGACAGTTACACAACAGACGCTAGTGGAGCGGCTGAGGTCACGTGCTGAAAAATATATTGCTCTTCACCTAAGATATGAGAAAGATATGCTGTCTTTTACTGGTTGTACATATGGCCTGACCGATGTCGAATCAGAGGAGCTCAGAATAATGAGGTGAATTTTTTCTTCCTTAATGATGTACATTCACATTGGTAAAAGCTTTTATATCGATATACGTTCTCATACTTATTGAGTTCTAGGGTTGTTCGTGGTTGATTATTGGTCCATTATTGTCCTGATTTTTTGTGGTTTAACGCTTGACAGATGACTTTGCCGATTGCAAAATGGGTCGGTAGTTGGTATTATTGGCCGCCCTTTTTCCGTTTAAGTTATGTTATTAAATACACAGCATGCTTCTTTTTAGTTTAGATATTAGTAGTTAATAAATTACTTATATAATTAACTAATAACAATTTGTAAACAAAACTATTTTTTTTACAGAAAATTGGTGTGTCGAGTATTACCAGCATACCACTTTTCAAGATACTAGCAACTTCCAACATATCCAACTATGCATGGGTCGGCTGAAAATATCGACCCAATTTTTAGTTGGTCGGTTGACAGTTGATTATGGGTCAAAATATATGGATAAAAATGAGTCTGCTGTCTGTAAAACGACCCATAAACAACCATTTATTGAAATTCTTCTAAGATCTATATAGGTATATAGGATAAAGTCACTGACTTGACAATCCACAAATTCATGTGTTCTGCAATATATGAAAGTAATGGTCATGCTTATATCTGGTTTATTTTGTTATTGTTGGTCTTCTTCAGGGAGAAAACAAGTCATTGGAAAATGAAGAATATTAACTCAACAGAACAGAGAATTAATGGTCTTTGTCCTTTAACTCCCAAGGAGGTCGGAATTTTTCTTCAGGCTCTTGGTTACCCACCTTCTACATTGATTTATATCGCTGCTGGAGAAATTTATGGCGGCGACACACACCTATCAGAGCTAACATCTCGTTTTCCAAACATCGTTTTCAAAGTTAGTTGAGTTGTTAATTTTTTTTTCATAGTTTTCAAAGAATTATTTGTAAAAACAGGTTATATCAAGAAACTAGGCTAAGTTTTTCTCGTTCATTACAGGAAATGCTTGCATCGCAAGAAGAGCTGAAAAAGATTTCCAGTCATGCATCGCAAACTGCAGCCCTCGATTATATAATCTCAATTGAAAGTGATATTTTCATCCCGTCACATTCGGGGAATATGGCAAGAACTGTTGAAGGTCATCGTCGATTCTTGGGGCACCGAAAAACAATCACTCCAGACAGGTATTAATTTGCTGCAAATCTCAATATCGTGTTATTTAGTTTGAGTCAACATGCAAATGGACGTGTGACTTAAATTGTCATTTTTCAACACATAATAGAGCATAAATTTTACTTAACACTTAAGTTTAGTAAAAGGCTATTCAATTATAAATGCTAAGAGTCTTTGAGATGCATGTTGCTTATTAGAGTTTGGCAATTGCATGTTGTAGTTACGATGATCTTAAAGCTATTGGGACATGTTAGTTACATGTACTTGATGTATATATGAATTTTCCGAGTGCGATGATAACATCATCCATTTTACACGATTTCACGTATAATATTCTGAAATATTTAAAAAGTGCAGAAGTACCATAATGCAAATATAATCTTTGTGGCAATCCAATTTTACTAATAGAAAGTTTTTGAGAAATATTTCACGTATATAACATGTTTTCACACACTGGCAACTTCATATCAGTAAGAACTCTAAATAGTACTGGAACCATAGTTAGGTACCTTTCTTGTTTGGTCATCCTTCATTCACAAACGGTACTTTGCAGGAAAGGCCTCGTCGAATTATTTGATAAATTGGAAGCTGGAAGGCTTCAAGTGTCATCTTTGCCCCGCCATGTGAAGCAGTTGCATAGAAACAGGTATTTAAACGTCTCCGACTTTCGACAAATCCTCACATATATTTTTCTCGTGGTATATAACTTTTCTCTTCCTACTAAAAGTTAACTACGTTCTACTGTTTTCTAGTGTTAACTTTGATAGCTGAATTTTGACATCGGAAAAATATTCTTGTTATATCTCTCATGCTAGTGTATCAAAATTGAAATTCCAGCGTAATCAGTCGTAGGTCCCTCTCCATCTGTTCTCAATGGACAAAGGTCACAACAGTAATTTTCATTTAGCTCTTGGTAGAAAGCTTTTTTAGTGGGAACAGAACCCCGTTTTCTTTTTGATCGAGTACATTTATTATCTTCTGCACAATCATTTCCTTGGTTGGTCTAGCATGCTATAAAATATTGCACTTAACATAGTTTATCATGTTATTGGGAGAAGCGGTACTCACATGCCGATTTGTTTCGGCATCCTTGAAGCCTCTAAAACGAGTCTCAAATATTATTTTAGAGGAAAAGATGATGATTTTATTGAATCACAACCATTGAATTGGTGTTTTTAGATATATAATAATTTAATAATACAATCCAAAAATATCGTAACAGAATATCTACTTTTACATAGTTTTTGTTCAAGTATCTGAGTTTGAAAAACGAGTTTGTATAAAATGTCAGGGTGGGCGCACCTCGGAGAAGAGGAGGTGCCCCTTCGGGAATAAGGGGCAGAGCTAGATTGAGGCTGGAGGAATCTTTCTACCAAAACCCGTTTCCGGAATGTATTTGCAATTCGCAAAGTGCAGTTAGGTGAAATACAGTTTTTGATCGACAAACGAGTACCATAAATACTACAAGTTCTTACTATGGCTGGAGTTCTCATCCATCCAACTATTTTTTGCTATTTGCTCTTATAGGTTTTTTTACGTCCCTAGACTTTTTTTTTTCGTTTTTTTTAAATGTATTTATTTATAATAGCTGGCGATTAGCCCTCTATATTTATCTTGCTACTTAATTCCGAATTATTGTCTATAATTATTTGGATTTGTATACATATAAATGTGATGAAAACCAGTCTTGCTTTGAGTTGAGAATTAAATGGTTTTCCAATAGCATATGGTGTGAATTGTGATCTATCGGTTCGTAGCTATATAATTTATATTTAAATTTCGGCAAATTTAAAAAACAGTGTTTGATTTATTTTCCAGAAACAAACTAAAACTTTGGATTATATGTAGACATTGATATTTATTTTTATTCAAAACAAAAACTTATCTAATGAGGTATATAATTGTAGGATTGGAGTAAATCTCTTACTGGAAGGTAATTATGATGGAATATGTGACAATGGACGGATTGGATTGGATTGGATTTTAATTAGCATTTTCATTGAGATATTAATTTGTTTTTTGAGGTGAAAAACTAATTATAATTTCGTTTAGAGAAATGTTTTGAAAAAACATAAATGAAATTTTGAAAATTTGAATGAAAACAATGTATTCAAAAATCAAATTTTTTTGAATTGGAATCACGGAGTTTGGATTTTTTCTTTTATTAAAAACCTAATAATATTGATCTCTCAAAAGTGTATTAAAATTGGATTCGAATCTAATACCAATTCAAAGTTTGATATATGCGGTTAAGTTTGACAAAAAAAAAAAAAAAAAACGGAAGCTACCCTGCATAAACCACAAGGGGATTGGTTATGTGCTGATAGAACGAGCACAAGATTATATGCAAAAGTTTGCAACTACAGAGGGGTTAAGTGTTGGTACCCAATATTAATTAAAAAAAAAAAGAATCCAAAATTCACGATAAAAATATTATTCCAAAACCGAAATATTTCGAGTTTATTCAAGTTTCCACCCCTAAGGTAGTGGTAATAGTGTCAGTTAAATAGTATGACAGTACTAACACCAACTGCATTAATTGAAATGGGTGAAATGGGTGACATGTATGCATTATTTACAATTTCTAGAAAATGAAACACGTCAAAGTGATCATAAATGTATGGCGAGCACAGTATGTAAATCAATTTGCAGTAATAAACCATCAATGAGACTAATAAATTTTGATTACGATAGGGTTGAACTCACTCGAGTTTCTTTCTGCTCTTAACTGATTTGCGGTCAATGCCGGTCTCCGGCGGCATTGACCTTTTCTTTTAACAGAATATTACTATGATTGACATTAATATTATTGTATTGTCAACACAGTAATACTACTTTCAACCCCAACAATATTTTATTTGCTTTTGCTGATCGGTCAACATAATAATATTATTGTGGTTGACAATTTGAGATAAATCCACACTCCTTACACCTTCTTTCTAATTTCAGTTTTGCCCTTCCACTACATTATTCCCACTTCTCCCATCCTCGTTTCTCCTTTCCTTTTTCTTTTTGAATTAATTTGTTTTCAATTTTTTTTCTAATTTAAAAAAAAAAATTTCTTTTGTTTTTGATTTTTTTTTCACTGTTAGGTATATTAATCGACTATCAACTTAAAATATAGTCGATTAAGGGACTGACTAATAAAACCGTGGTTGCATAATGAAATTGACTAAAAGTAACAAAGACGATAATAATGCCGTCAATGAAACCCAACACGATTCAATAAAAAGAATCCAAACAATAACCAACCAAAATGAATAACAAAAACAACTTAAAAAGAAAACAATGAAAACCAACTATCTTTACAAAACAACAAAATATTTAAAATTGTAATTGATTTATACAAATCGGATGATGGATTGACAATGGCAGAACAAAAATGCACCATCCCTATATCCCCAAGTCCAACTATGTTGGCAAAATAAAGAAACAATAAACAAAATTCAAAAATGAATTAAAAATGTAGCTGATTAATCTTAATCAACTACTGGGCGAACTTCCTCCATCTGCATAATCCACCGTGCAATCTATCCAAAAAAATCCTAGATCCGCTCCCCATCGTCACCCCACCCTCGGCACACCACACCATCACCACCCCACCATTAACGCTTAACCAGTGTCGGCACTGCCCTATGCAATCGCGTATCTCCGCCGACCACCTCCCATATGGCCTCTTCTTCATCTCTCTTGGAGCTTTTCTTCACCTTCATCATCACCACCACCACCATTTTTATTTAGTGGCGACGGCGCCTCCAAGGAGACGTGCCATCATAGTTTGCTTTTTTCATTTCTTCATCCGTAATTATACAGTAATTAGTCACTTTCAAAAATTAAGAGAGAAAATGTCTTGCGCATACCTCCTGCTCCATCAAGTCCTCATCCCGTTTTTTCGATTGCTCAATTGAAACGTCCACAACACACACACAAAACATTGTGCGACTGACAAATTAGGCGAGAAGAGAGAAGAATGTAAGGGTAGTTTTGAAATTATAAAAATAGGAGTTGGGTGGAATAATAGCTAAGGGGGTTTTCTCTAATTATTTTTTAGAGGGGGTTTTCCTTAACTACATTTCCTAAATGGGGGTTCATGCTAATTTTCCCTATAAATAAACGCAAAATTAATGTATATGACAAATTTACCCCTAACCCTTCAAATCCAATACCTAATTGTAACCCAATTTAACTTCAATTTTATCACAAAAATTCAAAAAATTCAATTTTTACTTTTTTTTTTTTTTTGCTTTGCCGCCGGTATCTGGCGTTGACTTTTTTTTTTTTTAATTTTTTTTCTAAATTTTTTATCCGTGTTTCTTTGCGTCCACCGCTAAACAACTGTACTTGTACTTTCTTTAACAGTAATTATGCTTTCACTGACATTAATTGTATTGCCGTTGATAAGTATATTTATGTAATTGTACTATCGTTGTCAACCACATTAATATTATTATGTTCTTTGTTTTTTCTTTTTTGATTTGTTGACAAGTAAACATAATAATATTATTGTCGATGACGGTAAAATTAGTATAAACGCAATAATATTACTGTCAACCACATCAATATTTTTTTTTGTTTGATTTGTTGATCGATTAACGTAATAATATTATTGTAAAAACAATAATATTTTTGTGGTTCACGGTAATATTATTGTCATTACAGTAATATTACTGTCAACCACATCAATATTAATTCTTTTGACATTTTATTATATTTGCCTTTGTTGAACAGTCAACATATTAATAAGGATGTGCATGGATCGATTTTAACCATCAACCAACCCATTTTCGACCATAATTGTTGACGGATAATCAACCACCAGCTGACCCATTTAAGTAAGGTCAATAATGTAAACCAACCCATTATAGTTGGGCCGACAATAATTTCTAATATGCTAAATATAGTTGGTTAGTTGGGTAATATCGGCCAACCAACTTTATTTATTAAGTTATTATTTATTAATTTTATTTAAAGTATTTAATATTTTTAATTTCAAATTTAATTTTATATTTTTATTAATTTTATCACCTCGTATTTTATTTTCTTTATTTTAGTTTGAACTATTATTTTTTGTTGAACTATTTATGTTTAATTGCAATACATATGGCCGTAATGTTTTGAATTTTTATTCGAATATTGTTGAATTGGTCATGTTTAATTGTGAAAAAAATAGTGCTGTAAGTTGTAACAACTAATAAAAAAAAACTAGATGGATGACCCATCAACCAAACCATCAACCAACCCACCAAATTGGTTATCAACCACCACCCGACCTATGTAATTGAGTCGATAATAGTTTTCAATATTTACTAAAATCGATTGGATGTGTTGAGTTGGTTTTATGGCTGGTTTTTAACCAACCCAACTAACGCACAGTCCTACATATTAATATTACCCTATTACACAATAATAGTGATCTTTATTGTGCATATAAAATTGTACTAGAAAGTAATGTGGCAACATTACTAGTTCAACATGCCAACATTTGTTGAAGAACCGAACAAAAATAAAAATTAAAAAATTAAAAAATTCAACGCCGGAGACCGGCAGATAATGGCGCGGCGGCGGAAATTGTACTCAAAATTGAATCGAAAATAAAATTGCCTATAATTTAAATATCTACCTTATTTCTTTCTTGTCCTCTTTCACCAGTCTGTCATATTTGGCTTTAACTTTCTTTACATCTAACGATTCCTTTTTCGAATGCCAATCCACTTCTATATCAGCACCAAGTCTTCCTAAATTTGCTAGTATGTCTTCTATACATGTTATATCAGCACCATAGAACTTCCAACTTGACCATATGTCTGCAGCCCTATTACAAAGTCAATCCATAGAACTTCCATATATATATATATATATATATATATATATATATATATATATATATATATATATATATATATATCTTACCATTTTATCTTACCAACTTAAGCTGATTTTCCTCTTAATAATTTTTTTTGTGCATTTTTAAAGAAAATGCTATTTAATAATATTTCAATGAGTACCATATATACAAGGATAACAAATAAATTAAAATTAATTCAATTTTTTTGTTAAGACATGGTGTATACATATCTAGGTGTATACACTTTTTTCACAAGATTGTTACAGAGGAACCATATATAATTCCCATGGGAACCTAATTTGCACCTTCCCATCCACGAAATATCCAAAACATCTCCTATTTATAAAATAAAGCTTTTAAACTATATAAATGATCAATCCCAGTTTAATTTTCTTGAACATAAAAATAAACTCACCAAAATTTTTGATAGGGGTGAGTTCGAGCCAGGATATCGGTATTTCGGGATTTTGGGATTTGGGATAGGAATTTTAAATCTCAATCCCGTCCGAAAGTTTTTATTCCCAGATTGGGATCCCTAAATATTATATTATGTTTCAACAAACGTGGTATAGTAGTCACTCCTTATTATTTAGGATTATGAACTAAAATTATATTAATTAAAAATTGTTTTGCTTGAAATATGGTCTTGAATTCTCTTCAACCAAATTCACGTGCAAATCAAGTGCAAATGTTGTGCATATTATGTGATTATTCGTGCAAATACGTACTTATTTTTCGTTAAAAAGAATATCAGTTGTTCACTTGTACAAGACCCATGCAGAATAACAATTTTAATTAATGTTTACTCACCTGAGACGACTCTCTCTCTCTCTCTATCTCTTCTTCATTTGTCAGATAAATTGGAGTAAATCCAGGGA